TATATGTATGTAAAGCGTCAACGTTGCCAACGTCTCCAAGAAGGGGAGGTGGGGGGATCACTTCTGGTTGGGAAATACTACTTTAGAACCACCTGCCCACAGACTCCTGCTTGAGAAAAGAAGAGGTTAGTTTAATGCTCAGCCAGTTATAATGAAGACAACTGGTTACAAAATAGTACTTTTAGTCAGAATTCATAGAGTTAGAACTGAAAATAGACAAAAGGAAAGGGAAATAATGCATCAAGGGACTCAGAGATCACTGAATAGCCAGCCCTTGATTTTCAGGTGAGGGCCTCCGTGGGAAGGCATTCTAAGCCACACAGTTGGGAAGCTGAGCGAACTGAACCAAGGGCTGGGCTTTTGTGTTGGCTTTTTAAATAGTGTGTGGTTTTACTCACCTACCACAGTGCTCCTCCTACTGGTGGGCACCTTAGAGTAGGCTGAAAACAACGTGTCTCACTGTCCTTTTTTGTTTGTCTCTGAGTATTTTTCCTTATGACCTTGAAGTAACAGTTACTTACTTAATTTGCAATGAATGAAAACAGGCATGTACTGCAATCGTTTAAAAAGTATATTTTATGAGGTTTTGTTAAGATAATAGATTAAAAAATTATTGTAGTGACTGTAAATAAATATAGCTATAAGAGTTAAATTCTTTCTGGCATATAAGATACATCTTTGCTCCTTTAGTAGGTATAGTTTACATTAACTATTTTATTATATATCTAAAAAAGAGAAGCAATGCCCAGAACCACATATTCCAAGTCCTACAATCATAAAGGTAATAATAGTAATGAGTGTTTCATGTTTACTTTTTAAAAACTAAGTTTTGAATTATGAGCTGTCCTGAGCAATAGCACAGGTGGACAGAATAGCATCGCAAACAGTCCTGAGCTCAGCACTCTGCTTGACTGGTTTTAAGCTCTCCTGTTTCAGGGTCTTTTCAGCTCCTTCTGGCCAGGAACTGTTTTTCCTTTGCAGGGCTCACACCTTCCTTCCTTCCTTCATGCAAGCCTCTGCTGAGATGGTATCTCTTCAGACGGGTCTCCTGACTGTTCTATTTGTAGTGAATGCAACTCCAAAATGTATTCTGTATAATAAACAAAAAGCACCCTCCATCTCCCCTGGTTACTCTTCACAGCAATTATTATATATTTGTTTGACTTATTTATTGTCTAGCTTATCCAACTAGAATCCAGGCTGTGACTCACTGAGGGCTTTGTTTTATCAACCAATACCCAGAAGGATGCCTGTTATACTGCAGGCATTGAGTAGATACCTATTGAATAGAAGTATTATTGCCTGGGCAAACTTTGTAGGCAAGAGCAGGCTAGAAACAGTTTGGTGTAGGTTGATGAATTCTTACACTCTGGCAAATGACCTTTGTCTTTTTAAGCATAATAATATTATGTTTAATGTTTAAATGGCTTAACGCGACAATTTATATTTCCAAGAGTTAATCATTTATCCATCTTAAATAACAGGTCTTGTTTTCAGTAGAGAAAAGTTTAAGAAAAATAAAAAAATGGCCTTTCAGCCTACTGATCAGAGAAGCCCTAGCCACACTTAAACAAACAAACAAACAAACAAACAAACAATAAAAACACGAGTTGAGGCTGCGGCTGCTCATGCCTGTAATCCCAGCACTTTGGGAGGCTGAGGCAGGCAGATCACCAGCCTGGCCAACCATAGTGAAACCCCGTCTTTACTAAAAATACAAACATTTGCCAGACGTGGTGGCACATGCCTGTAATCCCAGCTACTCGGGAGGCTGAGGCAGGAGAATTGATTGAACCTGCGAGGCGGAGGTTGCAGTGAGCCAAGATTGAGTCACTGCACTCCAGCCTGGGTGATAGAGTGAGTGAGACCCTGTCTCAAAAAAAAAAAAAAAAAAAAGTTTACAGTTAGAAACTTAAAATTTTATAGAAAGGTACAGAATAAAAAGTGGAAGATGTTCCCCTATGTACTTTTCTAGTTCCTTTCATAAAAATAAAACCCCTGTAACTAATTTCTCATGGGTTGTTCTAGAAAAATTTTTCTATGCCTATAGGCATAAATGTATCAACAAAATACACATTCTCTTAAATTGCTTTAAAGATACACACACATGCACATCCTAGAAGTTTCTGTAAAAACCCTTGCACAATTTATCCTTATTTATTTGCACAACCATATTGTGAAGATCGCCTCCACCTGTCTGCCTGCCTGTCCCCTATTCCCTCCCTAGTGCCTGGCACGCAGCAAGTAATGACCTATCCATGGAGTGAATAACTAAACTAGTACATCCTCATTTAACAGAAGGCACTGTGCTTTTATTAATGCACCCTGACAAACAGAATTCTTATACCACTAGTTAAGTTCTTCGAGATTCATATTCAATGAATATTGATAGTTTTTTTGTTTAAATTGATTTTGTTCTAGGTGCTTTCACATGAATGGGATCCTCAGGCTAATCTCCTGAAGTGGTTATTTTAATTCCTGTTCTTCAGATGAGAAAATGAGACTCACAGAGTTAAAGCCAAATCATATAATAAGAGTTTAATACTAGGGAAAGGGTCTAGGCCTCTGTGCCCTACTTATATTTCTAAGTCTCTTCCTTTCCACTAGTTTCAAAAGTAAGAATGCTATGAATGTTTAAGCTTAGCTCTGAATACCAAATATTTCTGTACAGTCTGTCATGCCACAAAGGTTCATTTCAAATCTCTCTAATTAGCCCAGCAGATAAAGCAGGAGCTGAAGACTCCAAATAAACCACTAACAAACAAAAAACACCTTTCACACAAAAGAAATCTCTTGATGGTGTTAAAAACTAAGCAATGTGGCTTCTTAGAACGTGGCTTCTGAACAGCTCAGAATCAAAACACAGGAAGTAAGCTGTTAATGGCACAATGAAATGAATAAAAACTATTTTGGGGGTGAACCAAAGTTTGCTCTCTGCTATTTACTGGTCCGTGTTCAAAGTGGGGAGACGGGCCTTGGGGTCAAGAGCTTCCCCAGTGGCCCTATTTCCAAGAAGAAATAGCCAATACACAACTCTGTAAAAAAATTTAAAAACATACGGAATTGCACACTTGAAATGGATGAATATTATGATAAGTAAATCATGTCTCAATCAAGCTGTTAAAAAGAAAGAAAGAAAGAAGAAAGAAAAAGCAAGCAAGCAAGTAAGCAAGCCAAATTTAATGCGGTTTTACTTTGCCAGCAGTCAGCCGGTACAGATTTTGGTCGTGTGGTGTGTGTGTGTGTGTGTGTGTGTGTGTGTGTGTGTGTGTGTTTTAAAAATGTGGTCTGTGATCCAGAGCATACTAGGATGTGGGAGACTCACAGGTTACTGTTTAATAGTATATAGAAAACGTGTGCAGAGTCAAGGAGGGGAAAACAGTTCTCCAATTAAAAGACTGTAGCACTAAGGCCTCCTGAGAAGTAAAAATCCATGAAAAAGGTGAAACTTTTGTTCTGTGAGTGTTGCCACAACATCACCTACTCGGGTGAAACTGCAGTGCGTACCACTCGCCTCCCACTTGTAGCTGGCCCGTTGATTCCGTTGACTTGGAATAGCAGCCTTGTTCCATCTGCTGGAGTCAGAGGTTTATGGAGGCAGAAAGTGAGTGGAATTATTTCCAAAAAAAATAATCACAGGAGCGGGGAGAGGGAGGGAGGAAGAGAGAGAGAGAAAAAGAGAGAAAGAGAGAGAGAGAGACACTGAGAGAGACAGAGAGAAAGGAGAAATGAATTTTTGGAATAGAATGAAGTTGGCTGTGTATGCATTAAAACATTTAAATGAACACTGCAAAAGCTATAAACTGATGATTCCTTAAGAAGAGCTGTCTGTTGGGATGGGACCAGAAAAAAAACCTCAAAAGGGAAGGGATGGGCAGGAGGGAACTTGCTACTGAAAGGAGTAGGGTTTGCAGGTTTGCAGTTATACCTGTCTGCCAGCCAAGGGGCTAGGGGAGACCCCACACACACTCTGTATCAGTGCCTCACCATGGGAAGGAGGACAAGGACAAACAAGCACCCTCTCTGTGCCAAACAACGAAACAAAACCTTCTTACTCAATCTAAAAGGAAAACAAAAACAAAAACAAACAGGTTTATTTCACACCCTTCCCCCACTTTTCTTTTTTTGTGTAAGAGACAGGGTTTCATTCTTGCCCAGGTTAGAGTGCAGTGCTGCAATCCTAGCTCACTGCAGCCTCAACTTCCTGTGCTCAACCAATTTTCCCACTTTAGTCTCCCAAATAACTGGAATTATAGGCATGGACGAGCATGGCTGGCTAATTTTTTAAATTTTTTGTAGAGACAGAGTTTCACTAAGTTGCCCAGGCTGGTCTCAAACTCCTGGCCTCAAAGGCTCCTCCCACAGCAATGGGATTACTGGCATGAGCCACAGCGCCCAGCCAACTGAGGCAATTTTTTTTTTTGAGACCAGATCTTGCTGTCACCCAGGCAGGAGTGCAGTGGTGCCATCTCAGTTCACTGCAACCTCTGCCTCCTTGGTTCAAGCGATTCTCCTGTCTCAGCCTCCCAAGTAACTGGGATTACAGGCACACACCACCATGCCCGGCTAATTTTTGTATTTTTAGTAGAGACGGGGTTTCACCATGTTAGCCAGGATGGTCTCCATCTCCTGACCTCGTGATCCGCCCACCTCGGCCTCCCAAAGTGCTGGGATCACAGGGTGAACCACTGCATCCGGTCTTAACTGAGGTAATTTTTTGAGAAATTCTGGGCAAATGCCCTCACTTACCTCTGATCATAGGTTTAAAAACGCCAATAAAACTTGTTTATTGCTTAAGACTAGGTGTCCCTTTGGGAAAACCCATCAAGCTGGATACTTCTGATTTTTCCACTACTCTGTATCTAGATTATACTTTTTTCTTTTACGATTTTTACAATATTGTTTATTTTAATGAAGCTGGTGTAGTCAATGTCCATTTAAAACCCGGTATCTCAGGCCAAAAAGTACGAATAAAAAAGAGCAGCATTCTGTTGTATTCATTTCTGCATGTATATCTTTATTGCTAATGAAAATTAGAACTTTTCTGGGATCTTCTGACAAGATTAAGAAAAAAAAATCTTCAAATGCCTTTTCTTCAGGGAAGCCATCTTTGGAGTTAGTCATTAAGTTCAACCTTATCTGTCATCTTGACTTAACCTGATGCTCCTTTTCTTTTGGTCCAGACCCTCAAATTTTAAAAATAGCTTCCAGTTGTTAAGGAGAAGTCATTTTTCCACAGCTCAGTTCTTTAAAAAACTTCCATCTCCCACCAAAAGTCATAGTCCAGGAGTGAAACAATCACATGGTTGAACATCAGGGCCAAGTGGAAAGTCATTATGAACACTTGCATTGGTCGATCTTGTCATCTGAAAATGTACAGTCCTGAAAAAGGTGGCCTCTCTGTGCACACGTAATTTTTATAAAAGGAGAGGGCAATATGAAGAGGACTGAGCCTTGATCACCAGAAATCAGCATAATGAAAACAAACAATAATGAATAATGAGAACTAGAATTCAAATTATCAGATGTTTTAAAGAGATAGAGTGCCTGTTTTCAATTCCGTTTTAAATTCCACGTTACATACGAACTATTTTAAAAATAAAAAAGGACTGAGGGAAAAGGAAAAAAAAAAAGAATGTCTAAACTGTTGAATGACCCCCGATTTGTTCCTGATAAACTTCAATCACATCTTCTTCCTCCATTCCCAGTTCTTCTGGAGTATGATTATCAGCAATTCTCTGACCTTCAAAGAGAAACCTGAGGGAATTCACTGGAACGCCCTGTCTCTGACAGTACGATTCCTTGAGTTTCTTGAGAGGTGTTGTCATTTTCACTTTGAAGTGAATCTCACTGCTATCCTGTCCAATAACCCTGAGTTTAATATCTTCATCTTTTATCTTATCCCCCAAATCCTCAGTTGAAGGTTTTGCCTCCTGGTCAGACATGGTGATGGGGCATTCACCTGCAGGTCTCCGAACAGCAGCGGTCTCGAGGTAGGCAGAACCCCGTTCTAGCGTATACAATGCCATCTCCCTTCGTCACAGCACGACACCGCGGCCGTAGTCACTTCCGCTATGCTCACGTCACTACTGTTACGCCTCGCGTCACTTCCGGTGCAGCTTGCGTCACTTCCGGTGCAGCTTGCGTCACTTCCGCTAGGCACAGAGAGGAGGCCCGGAGAAGAGTTAACTTTTTTATTTAAAGTGCCAGTATGTATTCCCTGTTCCTGCTTCCTCATCAATTTCAAACTTAACAGGACCCAAAGAGAACTTGGGTTCTCTGTTCTCAGGGGCCGCCAGCTATCTTTTCCCAGCCTAACAACAACAACTTCAGCATGTCCCTGTTTCTTCTTTCTCTAATCTCCTCACCCAGTCTGGATAGCCTGTTGTCTCTCCCTCTAGAGCAGGTCTGAAATCAACCGGCTTTACCCCATCTTCATTGAGGTGGCCAAGTCCATGTGGTATTTTGGCTGGACAACTGTCGGGGACTCCCAGTTGGTTTACCCACTGCTTCAGTTGTCTCCCTCTCCAGTGAATCCATTCTCCATTTCCATTTTATTTTATTATTTTATTTTATTATATTTCATTAATATTTTTTGAGATGGAGTCTCGCTCTGTCACCCAGGCTGGAGTGCAGTGGCACGATCTCGATTCACCACAAGCTCCGCCTCCTGGGTTCAAGCAATTCTCTTGCCTCAGCCTCCCGAGTAGCTGGGATTACAGGCATGTGCCATGATGCCCGGCTTTTTGTATTTTTTTAGTAGAGACAGAGTTTCACCGTGTTGGCCAGGCTGGTCTCAAACTCCTGACCTCAAGTGATCTACCCGCCTCAGCCTCCCAAAGTGCTGGGATTACAGGCATGAGCCACCGCGCCTGGCCCCCATTTCCATTTTATAAGAATGGAAATCAGATGACGACATTCTCCTTCTGTAAAGCCTCCTCATGGCTTCCCTTCACATTGAAAGAACCACCCAGGATGGGGAGAAGCCTTCTGGTGTCACACAAGAAAAGCCATGGCCACCTCCCCTCATCCCTTCCCTCCTCCCCCTTGGTCATTCTGTTCTGATCTCCTGTCCCTCCAACATGCGTAGCTCATTCCTTCCTCGGCGACTTTGCCTTGCTGTCCTCTGTCCTGGGTCTAGGCCCTAATGTCTCCTCGCCACAAAGGCTGCCCCTGGTCACCTGTGTGGTTGCCATTTACTGTCACATCACCTTCAGAACCCCTGTCACTGCTGGACATGTGATCTTACCTCTTCGTTTTGTTGTTTATTGGATGTTTCCCTCATTAGGATATAAGTGCCCAAAGGGGCAAGAACTGTGTCTACCTTACACTATCCTACACTACTTTGGATGTATAAAAACAATTTGAAATGTCGCATGCCTAAAACCCGATTCCTGAACTTCCCATTCCCACCATCACCGCCTTCCTCCTGTCCTGATCTCTCCTGGTCTTCCCCTCTCAGCGCGCTGCGACTCTATTCCTTCAGTGGCTCAGACCCCAGATATTGGAGGCGTCCGGGGCGCCCCTTTCCCCCTCACATTCCACACTCATCCTGTTCGCACCTTCAGTTGCCTTTACCTTCGGAGAGCCTGAGACCACCACTGTGTCCTGCTTCCGCCCTGGTCCGGGCAGCCACAGGGGTCCCTGGAGCTTCCTGCAGTCACTGCACTTACTGTCTCTACATGCCCCTGTGCCCTCCTTCCATCTAGTCTCCGGAGTAAGGTTATTTGAAAATCATTTCCAAGGTCACATCTGTTTCCAGAGCTATCCAAAGACGGCTAGCTCAGAGTGAAATCTAAAGCCGTTTAGTCACGTCGGCCCAAATGCCCCTCTCTGACCAGCCCGCCCACCCACCATTCTTTTCCTTGCTTCCTCCACTCTAGGCACACTATCTAAGGGCACGCCCCCGAGGCCCTGTGAGTGTGCTGCTTTCTTTCTGGAAGGACTTCCCCCATATGCTACATTGAGTGCTCCCTTCCTTGTGGAGGTCTCTGCTCAGTGAGGTCCTCTCCAGCATCTCCCTTTAAAATTGCCCCAGCGGGACAGGAGCTGTGGCTCCTGCCTGCAATCCCAGGGCTTTAGGCGGCTGAGGTGGAAGGATCACTTGAGCCCAGGAGTTCAAGACCAGCCTGGGCAACAAGGTGAAACCCTGTCTCCACAAAAAAAAGACAACACTTAGCCAGGCATGGTGGTGTGGACCTGTGGTCCCAGCTACTCTGGTGGCCGAGGTGGGAGGATTGCTTGAACCCAGGAGTTGGAGGCTACAGTGAGTTGTAGTGTCACTGCATTCCAGCCTAGGTGAGAGAGTAAGACTCTGTTTTTGTTTTGTTTTGTTTTTAAATGCCCCCTTATACACGTGTTCCTCCTTATCTGTCTCTGTATTTTTTCTCCAGAGCACTTCTGACTCTTCAGACATGTGTCGTTTTTATTTGTTGATGCTCTTCTCCCACTACAATGTAAGTTCCATGTGGGTGTGGATTTCTGTCTCTGTCACTGTGGTATCCTCATTGTTCAAATTGGTGCCCAGCAGGTATTAAACACTCACAGATATTTGCTAATTGAATGAACTAATGATGATGTTCACTGTTGAACAGCATACAGTACAAATCTAAGGCCTCATCCAGTGAGTGAATTAATGATAACTAAGAGAAATTTACCAAACTTCAAACTCACTCAATCAACAAAGATATATAGAGTTTCTGTTGTAAATCTGGAACTGATCTACCCTGATCTACAGTGTTGAATGAAATAGACGAGCTCTCTGACCACCTGAAACGAGCAGTCTACTTGGGGAAAATCCACTGATTAAATAATCATAGAAATGTTTGATCACAAACTTGGTACTGCTGGCAAGGAAAAGTCAATAACTCGGAGTGTAGTTCCATTTGAGAATTAGGAGGGCTTCTCTGAGGAGGTGACATCTGAGCTGAGATGAGAAGGTTGAGATGATGCAGGAAAGAGGTACAGGGGTGGAGACTGGGGAGAAAATTTCAGGCAGAAGAAACTTCAGAGGCAAAGTCCCCAGTCCTTGGGTTTGGGTTAATCATTTACATCTTACTGCTTCCAGTATTCTAGTTTCTGATGATTACTATGATTTAGCTTCATTTTTTAGCTACCAGTAGAATATTGGTGATGGTTTTCATTTGGAGGGATGGGGAATGCCTCCAAACTCAGGATTCTAATTAAATTTTGGAGACCACAGAGTTTATGCAGCGTGTGGTTGGATTTTTACATCATCCTTGTTTGTTTTCTTCTCTTTCCAGTCCTTCCACACTGGCTAGTCATTAAAATTTAGAGCTCACCCTGGGTTAAGTGGACAATTTCCTGGAAAACAGCTGGTTGAGCTCCCCCCCGCCGCCCAGTGCATCGCTGAAATAAACATCCCCTTTGGAGAAAGGCTTCCTTTAGTGCCTTCCTGCTTAGCATCTTTTTGCAATCTATATTCCTGTTTTGCATGACTTCTCAGAACAAATCTAGAATGATAAGTAAAATAACAGCCAAGGTTTATTAAGCATATGATTGCTTCACACAACCTTCCTTGGAGCTAGGCACTATTATTATCCTGTATTCAAAGATGAGGACCTGAGGCTTGGGAAGTTAGTGTGTTTCAGACCAATCAATAATGAGCAGAAGCAGGTTTAACACCCAGGACCATGTGACTCAAGAACTTGTGCTCCTTTTTTTTTTTTTTTTTGAGATGGAGTCTCAGTCTGTCGCCCAGGCTGGGGTGCAGTGGCTGGATCTCAGCTCACTGCAAGCCCCGCCTCCCGGGTTTACGCCATTTTCCTGCCTCAGCCTCCCGAGTAGCTGGGACTACAGGCGCCCGCCACCGCGCCCAGCTATTTTTTTGTATTTTTTATTAGAGACGGGGTTTCACTGTGTTAGCCAGGATGGTCTCGATCTCCTGACCTCGTGATCCACCCATCTTGGCCTCCCAAAATGCTGGGATTACAGACTTGAGCCACCACGCCTGGCCAGAACTTGTGCTCTTAACCATTGAGCCACAAGGCCTCCCTAGGGTGGGATTAGTGTGGTCTCTTGTAGAGGGGACCAAGTGTATCTTGTGCTGAAACCTGGCCAGGCACAGGGACTTGCGCCTGTAATCCCAGCACTTTAGGAGGGCGGGTGGGGGGGATCACCTGAGGTCAGGAGTTCGAGACCAGCCTGGCCAACATGGGGAAACCCCATCTCTACTGAAAATACAAAAATTAGCTGGGTGTGGTGGTGCACACCTGTAGTCCCAGTTACTCGGGTGGCTGAGGCATGAGAATCACTTGATCCCAGGAGGTGGAGGTTGCAGTGAGCCGAGAGTGCGCCACTGCACTCCAACCTGGGCGACAAGGAGAGACTCGGTCTCAAACAAAACAAAACTATCTTGTGCTAAAAAGGGTTTAATACATGGATATTGAGTAACTCACAGGTGGAGAAAGGAGTCCTAAGAAACAAAGAAATACAGAGGCAGAGAGGAAGAAGAGAGGAGGAGTGGGGTGGGGGGAGAGAGAGACAGAGACAGACAGACAGACAGACATGAGCTAATGCCTAGCTCCCAGGATGGTTGTGAGAAGCAACAACAAGCTTAATAAACCTTGGCTGTTATTTTATTATTCTTTGAGATGTTTTTCTCAAAACTCCCACATTTCTAGGGAGCAGAAATGCTTCTTGAGAGCTTCTGCTGGAAAGGGTGAGCTGCAATTCTGTTTTCTACTCCATGTCACTCTAGTAAAGACTCTCCATCCCTGCACTTAGAGTTGGATGATTTGCCTTGGCCATGGACTCATTCCTTGGCTAACAGAGAACAAGGTGTCTTAATTAACACTCTGCTGAGATGACTCACAATGGTTTGTGAGGGTAGATAGTCCCCTAAAGTTGCTGTGTAACCCAAAGAACCCGAAATGAATGCTGGGCTTTTCAAACCCAACCATTATGCTTCCTTCCTCGTGGTCACCTCCTGTAGAAAGGTTGGAAGTGAAACTTAATTCAGTCTCGATTCTGTCTTTGCTCTCATTTTTGAGAGCTCATCTTTATTCAGAGGGTGCCTGGTGCAGTACCAGGCACATAGTAGGTGCTTAGCCAGTCAATGGTGGGGCAAATA